AGTAAAATGGCAATATTTTGCAATCGGCCGGATGTTTTTAACGTTTTATTTGGCCACGATGAACAAAATTTTGTCGTCTTTCTCGTCATATCAGTTTGTTTGAAGAACTGGACAATTATTTATTTAAAAACACGCTGTTTCGAAGGCGTGTTTTTTGCGAAATGTCGTCATTTCTTCGTCGCTGAATTCCACAGGAGTCATCGTTTGCGTGGAAATAATGAATTCTAGGTAAGTTGCACTCAATTCAAATATCCTATTCTTTTAGGTAGGCATTAATTGCACTAACAGAAAAGCGCAATGACAATTTTCTAGACGTGGGGGAATCTAATTAACAGAAGCACATTTTTTCAAATTTACCGTTGCCAAACACTCGAGAATACTTGAGAGCTGTTAATCGTATCACTACAAGAATAGACCCACACACATGACGCGCTTTGAGGAAATTTCTTGCCGATCGACACTAACACAAATTCATGTTTTTGTTTATGACTCAAACTGATGCCATAAAATATGTTACGATTGGAAACCTTAAACAAGAAATGTTTTCCTTTAGCAGTCCCTTAATTGATAAACGCTACAGGCAGGCCGTGAACCCTTAAAAAAAGCAAGAGGATAGTTTTAACGGCGATTCAGTAATTTGGACAGGTCGTGGTTTTTTATCAGTTATAATCAAATATATTTTTTTGTTTCAACAATGTTAAAATGTCGCAAATCGTGTGTTTACATAATCAAACCCCTTTTAACGCGTCTAGAATTGATTGTTTAGTTGACCGGAAAGGGAGAGGCATCGAATCTGTCATCGTTAGTAACTGTAGCCAACCAANCATGTTTTTGCTTATGACTCAAACTGATGCCATAAAATATGTTACGATTGGTTAAGAACCTTAAACAAGAAATGTTTTCCTTTAGTAGTCCCTTAATTGATAAACGCTACAGGCAGGCCGTGAACCCTTAAAAAAGCAAGAGGATAGTTTTAACGGCGATTCAGTAATTTGGACAGGTCGTGGTTTTTTATCAGTTATAATCAAATATATTTTTTTGTTTCAACAATGTTAAAATGTCGCAAATCGTGTGTTTACATAATCAAACCCCTTTTAACGCGTCTAGAATTGATTGTTTAGTTGACCGGAAAGGGAGAGGCATCGAATCTGTCATCGTTAGTAACTGTAGCCAACCAAAGATAACATTGTACGATTTGTTTTTGTCTTTTATTTTAGAGAATCTAGGAGTGTGTTGTAATCGAACTCAGGACGTTGTGTGAGGAAAATATATATGTTCAAAATTCTATCGTGAGTGACTGATTTTAGCGCGAACTTTATCGGGAAAACATTTTGTTGTCAGGCAAACATCTAATTCCCAACACAAAGTCAGCAACACTAAGTTCCAATACCCTCCAGCCCTGATCCAATGTGGTCAAGCATGCACCTTTAAATTCTTCACACCCTCTCATTTGCCCCGTCTGCAGACCAAGTTCATTATCTTTTAATCCCTGTCATATTCGCAACTCATTTTGAAGGTTGCTTATACATTTTGCATTGTTTTTCCAGTGTGCTTTCTCAATATAATTTGACATCAAGACATTTCAATCCCTAAGGGAATGTGAGAAAAATAGCAATTCTGACAATTCTATCTTATAGAGTTTGATTTTAATTTATCACCCTTTCAATATGCCATCTTATCAAACTGTTCCTAAACAGTAGTGAAATTTCATGCCCCTGCACCTAGCCATAAATGGAAGTCTGGGAACAGGCAATATCAACGGTGACACTGGTGATTTCTCCAAGCTATTTAAATGAACTCATCAGTCTGGCAATGAAGAATGGTACAGTAGAATTACTAATGAATCAGACTGAGTGACATTGTTAGTGTTGGTGTTGTGCATGAGAGTGGTGCTAGTGTCTGTGAACTCGGACCAGATCAGCAAAGAAAAGGTTCCGTACTTATTAAGAAGTTGACAGAGACCAACAAGTTTGTGCTCACTAAAACTGAAGAAGCTGGCTCAGACCTGCCTTAAGGCCAGCTTCATCACTACGTGTCAAGCTAAGAGTTCCTGACCTGTGTATGTGGGAAGACTCCCTGTAATGACCTATATGGGGAGTCTCGGCTCAAACTGGGTACCTTTTTTAGGCTTCAGGTATAGTGATTTCACAAGTTGAGGTGTATGAAAGAGTAGGGAAATCTGTCATTTAGGGATAATTCCATTCTTCTGGTTCTAAAATGAGCCAGAATGAAGGGATTCTGCAATACTGTTTACTAACTCCTTTCCAAGGGAGTAGAAAAGGGATGCAGTATTCTTAAATAGGTTTGTAAAAGGGTACATGTACCCTTTTGCAATGAAAGGTCTACAAAAGAGGTGTCTTTTCTATCAAAATGTATACAAAAGGGTGAGGGGTAAAGCCTGGTTCACACTTGCGAGATAAGCATAACACAAGTGAAATAAGCACAAACATAAGCACAAGAAAAAGAAACATGGCCCAACCCTTTGAATACCAAACTTTCGCCAAAAAATACCGTTTTTAACCGTTTAGTCAGGGTGTTTAGCTGCCATGACGCTAAATAAGCCTAAGTTTTGCTAAGAAAGCTTTTTTTTTACTAAAAGGAGAGATTTTTCGAGGATTAGGTGCAAAATTGAGCAAAATTTCAATTCCGGGCATGCACATAAGCCAAAATTTGGACTAATTTTTTCTTTTTGTCATGAACCGTTCTGAAT